AAAATGTACAATTTTTAGGAAATACACTAAATTCACTGAAACACTAATTTTTCAAAATGTTTATTCTTGTGAGCTTCATTTAAAACTTGATTTAAGAAACAATAAAAAGATAACCATAAACCAAAAGGTATAAAATGTGGAAAATAAATATCTGTCATCATTTGAAAGAGGAGTGGTTCTTATAACCACCAACAAAAAAATCATAAGCTGGTAATAGACCAAAGCTTTATTCATTTGGCATTTGTTCTTTCCAAAAAATGTTATAAAATTTTATGTCTCTCCCTATATATAAAATTACCAGATACCTCAGAGCATTAAGGTAAAAACTGTATGAGGCTGGGATAATTAAACTGATAAAGGCTCATTTGATTTCAGCTCAGCTGCAGAAAACTGACATGCATTTAATCAAAAAGTTCCTCAAGAGCAATACAGAATTACAAAGAATGCTTAAAAGGAGAATAAATTAAACACAACTAAATCTTTTAGCCTAATTGCATTATTCACAGAAAGCACTTGATGCCTTATTATTTTCTTAGCTTCACTTTTCCCTCTTTTCTAATCTTCTCGAATGCATTCCTACAAAGGCACCAGCATATTGACATGAAGGGAGAATTTCTCAATTGTCGGTTTTGTGCCATTTACTGCAGGTAAATAAAGTCCTAAGACACTTAACAGATGTCTAATTTCTTCAGTGTGTGATTAATCTTGCCTTGTGTACTTCAAAAGAACCTTTTGGGAACCATTTTCCCACTGCTACAAAAGAGAGGAATTAGAGAATGTAAGATCTGAAAAACCACAGTGAAATCACAGGGGTGTCTGACACCTAGCTACCCACTTCACATACCATTTTAGCCTTCTCCTTATTTCAATAATAATCTGGGAAAGAGGGTCCAATCGGAAGTTGGTTAGCTTCTTAACATGTTACACATAATACCAATGAAGAAGCATTTTTATGGCTCTCCATTCTCAAAATATTTTAAAACATAAGACTTGGATAACTCTAAAAATAATCTCTCACTTTTATACAGTACATCAAAATTTATAAAATGCTTCTACATACATGATGATAGTTTAGCTTCATAACAACCATGAGCCATGCATTACTATTGGCAAAATCCTTTCCTCAATGACTACTTTCTAGATTACCTCAATGCAGAAATTATTTTCATTATTGCACTGTGTACTATATCTTTGGGTGCGATGTCAAGAGGGCCAACGGCCACCTCCAGCAGCTGCTGAATCATTCTTAGAGGCTGCCCATCTAAACACATGGCCACAGCTTGATCATGAAGTTTCCCTTTTTCCGATCGGGACAGATCATAGAGGTGACTGTATTTCTGCAGTGTTTCCTGCAAAGACACAGTAATCAACACCTAAGTATCCAATAGAAATTAAACACATGTACATGGACATAGCGAGACATATTCAGAAGATCCTTGAACCAAATGCATTACAACCTGCAAAACCATGCCAAAGGGCATGTATTGGTTATTAAGTGCTTAGCCTCAAGGGCCACCAGGCTTGAGGGCAAATCCTTGCTTTACCATTTATTAGTTGGTGGGCCTGTGTGATCTCAGATTTTAGCATCTGTACAATGAGCGTGAGGACAATAGGGTCCTGTAAATAGAGGGCATTGTGACATTAACTGAGATAATACACCAGTCAGTCCTTTAGCACAACATCAGACATAAATGCTCAATAAGTATGAGTTTTTCTATTATTATTACACTATACTCATATAATAATTTATTGACCAACTATGTAATCCCAGGTACTGTACATATGTTATCTAATTTAATATTTATAATAATCCTACAAGTACTTTTAATTAGCCCCATGTTATTAAAAAGGAAACCGAAGACCAAAGATATTAAATAACATGCCAAAGTCACATGGCTAGAACTAGGATGAGAATCCAAAAGTCTGCTCTTCCACCCCACATGCCACACTGTCTTTGAATATGTATAAAAACTAATGGTACAATAAACAATTTAAGAAATAGGATACAAGCTATTGTTTTTAAGCATACCAAATATGGTCACTTAATGATGATAATACTTTCCAGGTTCTTTATAGTTTCCCTAGTAATCCTAAATATACTGTTTTGCCTTTGAAAACAAACATGGGAAAAGCTGAATATTAAGTAGATATATGATATTAAAGAATTACTATTAACTTTTTTGATGGTAATAACATTGTAGTGGTTATGTTTAAATGTATCTTTTAGATATAGGTACCAAAGCATTTATGGATAAAACAAAGAGATGACTGGAATTGACTTTAGAATAATCCACAGGAGCGAGGTGAGAGTAGGTAGGGGTAGGCGTGAAGTAAGATTGGTCACATTTTGATAACTGTTGAAGCTGGGAGTTGAGGACATGAAGTTTCATTTTACTACTCTCCCCACTGTGAAACTTTCCATTTTGGAAAAATCCCCATGAGTTAGGTAGGGCAATTACTAATATCCTCACCTGAGAGAAGAGGGAACTGAGGCTCCATAGGACGAAGGCTTGCAGCTTACATTGCACTAACCCGCATGAAGATATAGGGTGTTCTCTTACTGAGTATATAATTAAGGTGGTTAACATCAAGGTCAACATAAAAGGGATAAATGTATGCGGTTGAAGGTTATTTCCACCTTTTGCTATAAAAGGATCCTCAATAAAATCAAATAATGTCCAATCTAGGAACTACAAGAGTCTCCTGCTATAGATCATTGATGGTCTGACTCAATGGCATTCAAAGTAACAATTCACGTATGGAACCTTCGTATCACAGCCTAGATGAAACAAACAGATGTTTTTGCTAATAACTCCCTTGACTCCAAATACACTATTCTAGCCATTTAAAGACAATACTTGTTCCAAGAAGAGTAATGCCAATTGTTTTAATATAGTATATTTGATTTTAAAAATACATAAACCAGTATTTTAAAAATTTTACGCTAACAAGTATAAATCACTTTTACTAGAAGATTCTAACTTTACCCGAGTTCTTGTAATTATGAATTATAGTATTGTAAATGTCAGCAGGATAAAATCAAGTTAGGCAAAGCCAATTTGTTCCCTGCAAAGGCTTCTATATTGTTCATACCATTATTTAATGTTATCCGTTAGACAGGCTAATAGGCATTGAAAAACAAAAAATGAAATAAAACTGCTTTTAGACTTTTGAATTGTTCCCATTATCTTTTCAATGAGGGGTTTGCATTTATGTGTCTAATAGAAAATTTGAAGTCTCCCATTTGCTCATTATCTGAATTCCTCTCCACGGACAGATCGTTCTAGTCAGGACCATTTTTCTACAAGCCAAGAATACAATCGAATAAACGTGTAAGGCTTATGAAAAATGAAAGAGGAGGTTAGTGGCCACTTACAGGTTCATTTACCATAGCATTAAAGGGTAAATGGAATATTATTCATATATCTAAGCACTGTTTTCACTTATATGAAAACCATTTACTTACTGATTTGTCAACTTTCCAGTTATGGAAAAGAATATCCCAATTCCACAACTGTTAAGATACAGAACAAAATCTCTGAGGGCCTCAGAAGGATTCTGGTTTCCTCGTACAGTCCTAACATATGGGTCCTCAAATCTCATCACAGGCAGGGTTCTGAACCTCATGATGGTGTTTTAGAAACACCAAGAGAGTCTCATCTAGAAATAAACTAGGGACAATTTTACTAGCCAAAATTTCCTCTCAATAATAAAGTTATATTGGAAGCATGTAACATAAAAACAGAATAAGGAGTACATATTTTTAAAGAAACTGTTGAGGCAAGCCTGGTAGGCTATCCCTGAATTTTTCTGAAAATTGGAGGGCAAAACCCTATCATTATTCATTCAGAAAGCACAACCCATACCAGCTAATAGTAGAGCCTGAAGACTACCGCCTTCTCATTTCTTAACTTTAGAGACCACTCCCCCAGCCCCAGGCACCCATCCAGTGTTCCACTCTGGCTAAGTATCTCCTCTTCTCCCAACCTTCCCACTCCCTCACCCTCTTCCTCCTCAGGTATCAATTGTGTTAAATGGCCTAAAATCCTTTTGAAAGAAGTGAAAATTGAATTGACAATCAGTGATAACGAAAAGGTTAAACTATAAAGGTTTGAGGACCATTTTCAAGGATATCTGCTAGTCTAAAAATCCTATCAAAACTACTAATGTAGCTTTAAAGGATAAATGAAAGAATATACTGATGCTATCTGAGCGCCTGAGTACACAGAAGTTTCCATGTCATTACCTGCTCACTATTCTTCAGAGAAACGATGAAACTATGGCTGAGGGTTTCCAGGTGAGCAAGTGATTTCTCCAGATGATTCAAAGCATCTGCATAGGTAACTTTAGAATCACTAACTTCATGAATGTCTTCTTCTGAATTTCTTTTTCTTGTCTTGTCCATAAAATGTTTGACTGTCTTAATAGCCTTTCTAGTCATCTCTTTACGTGTTTCCACGGATAGCTTTTAAGAAAAAAAAAAGACATTAAACAACAGTGAGACGAACCAGCCCTACATTATTATATATGGAATATTGAATAAGATATTAGTGGAGAGAAGAAAACGGAAATTTTAATGTATACAATTTTAAACAATGAGTAGGACTTCCGTTATACCAGCTTTTCTTCCGTGAAGAAAACAAAAACAGTGAGGTACCATTTGCATTATTAAATTAGTAATGTAGATTTTTAAAAATGATAATAGCCAAAGTAGGTGATGTTCTGATGAAATTAGTACTCACATTGACTATTGGTTATAGTGCAAATATGAGGAGTCAGTTTTACAAGTTTTGATCATTTATTGTAAGGAAATAAAAGAAGAAAAGAAGTATAGGCATAAAGATTTTAACTGGAAAAAGATTATAAAAATAAAACTTCCAAAGTAATCAAATTGATAGAAGAAATATGATAAATATGATAAATTACTG